TGCGGAACGCGATGTCAACCCTGATTCGGCGACAGCAGATCGGCCCCCACTTGCCGATGGCGAAGATCCTACACTGAGCAGCCTTGACAACACCATGAGAGTCACGAGGGTGATGCGCCTGATTGGGGTGGATTGTCGCTCACGTAAGTCAACGTTGGAAAGAAGCAAAGTGAGGAGAGATACCACAGCGTGCACGACCACCTGGAGGAGCACGAAGAGCTGGTCGATGACGACGAAACCCCACTGTCTGATGGGTTCGATGCTACTACGACGGCGGGCATACACGATATGGTAGGAAGTCAACTTGCTGGCGATGCCGAAGCCCCTACTCCTCCCGATGCGCCTGCGTCGGGAGTTCCTGGAGCTGCGACGGGAGTGGATCATGGCAGCGGCGGCATGTCTGAGCAAGCTGGTGGCTTACCAGATGGCGGCGCCTGCAGTGACGACGCCCCCAGGCCAGTCGACACCAGGCATACTTTTCAAGCTAAGCATGCGCTTCTGCAGCGCTCGAGTGGGCGGGCGCGCGGATGGCCACCCACGACATATTTTGCCAGCCACCTTGGATCGGATTTCTCGGGCTGGAGCAAAAGGCGCACGCAGCAACACAACGATGTTCTTCGATATGAGGTCTTCGAGAGGCCGGTCAGCACCGATCTGAACTTGCGCGCTCTTCCCAGGGAAAGGCTGGTTAGGGACTTGCGTGGTGAAGCCTGGCACCAGTCTGCTGAAAAGCGCGAACATACACGGCAACAGCTAACGCGAGCCTGGCCTGGAAAAGAGAATGGGAGACGGCTGAGTACTGTTCCTCTCATGCGCTCGCGTGAATTTGCGGGTCAGGCATTGGCCGGCCGACCCCAGTCGGATGGCACCCGGGGTGCGACAGGCATTATTTTTCATTTGCGTCTGTCGTCCTCGCGGCCCTCCTCTGCTAGTCATCGAGCTCGCAAGGCAAAAAGGTGATGACCGCCCCTTCTCGAAGGAGATGGTGATGGGGATTCTGAGACGTCTGACCATGATGTTCGCAGGCCTGCTGTTCACGAAGGATTCCCCCATTCCCCGCAGAGGTCGACGTCGACGGCGCGGAAGGTGAAGCCTATCCTTTTGCTTCTCGGGCGTCGCAAAGTCAGGCTGCTTCGACACGTCCGCTTCTCAGCTACATTCACTGTCGGGGACGGGAGGGCGACCTGGAGCCAGACGGCCTTGCGGAGATGATCTACGGGAACGGAACGGCTGAGGTTGCGCAGAGCGCTTCTCATTGTGATAGACCGCATTCTCCTGATCGAGCTGATCCCCCTTCTGTCGGCGATACGTCTGCCGATGATGATGACGATGACGGGCTGGCGGGGCTAGTCAATGAATTTGACCGCGCGCGCGCGGGGCGACGTTTGACGCCAGCCCGGTGCGGCGCGCTTTCGCGCCCACGCAGGTGTTTCCTGACAGCGCTGGCTTTGGCTCTCTGCGCAGCAGCGGCGCGCCTAAAAGGATGATGGACACAGCAGCGGCGCGCCGAAAAGGATGATGGGCAAACCACCACCGGCGGGCATTCACGATCCTGGTGGCGATGAGGCATGGCGTGCTCTCAGCCATCCCGGAGGCTTTGGGAGCAGTGGTTCTTCATGACCGATCTTGAAGTGTGGCAGAAACTATATGGTTTGATCGACTGGCGCGTCATTAACACGGCCACGCTGATGGATATGGCGCATCACATCGAACCGCAGTCGAGGATGACAGCCCCTCCGAATTGCCACGCAAACACGATCTGGCCGATTGCTCGGGACATTTGCGAAACAGTCTGGGTGAGGACAGCCAGAGCACGCACCCGACCAATGGAGACCTTATCGGATCTTCGCCCGGCTGAGTGGCATCGAGCATCTGAACGTCACTCGATGGCGTCCCGCGACAGAAGACAGCACATGGAGCCGCGAAGCATGCCGAATCCCACGAGGTGACCCTTGCACATATCGCGACTACGTGATCCTCGTGACCCACCACGCTCTGTGCCGAGGCCTCGAATCCGCGCCCCGCCTGCAATCAGAACCATGATGGGGTCAACAATCCCGCGCGCGACCCTGCGACCTCCGATTTCATTGAGTCCGACGACGAGAGCCTCCTGGCGACCAATTTCCTTCGTGGCGATCACCACCTCAGAGCTGTTGCTGCGAGTCGCCCTCTGGGAAAAGGATCGAGATAGCGCTGCCATTGCTTCTTCCTGGAATGCACTTCGCTTGCACCCCTGATCGAACAGGTCGGCGGCACTGATGCATTCTCCATCGCACCACTTTGCGGGCAAATTCGCGGCGACGACCACCAGCTGATCCCCACCATGGCCCCCAGCATTGAAGGTCGCGATTGTGATGGCTGCGCGCAGCTCCAAGGTGTGATTGAGCATATCGTGGAGCCATGGGCCCCACGCCCGGTCTACCAGGACGAACACGCGAACTCGCTCCAGCACTACATGGAAAGGTGCGTGTGGTTCATACTCAAGCAATTAATGAAGCCCGCCTTCGACCATCTGCTCGCTGATGTTGGTGACGATATTTGCACGGGCATTCGCAGTAAATTCATTAAAGACCTCTGCGCCGAAGCTCGTCCGACCACCCAAACCCAGAGGGCCGTAGTGATCGAGGCCATCAATATCCAGGTGGACAGCGCTAGGGACGGTGAACTCGCCAGGAGGCGCGCCCTATATCAGAGATTGCGCGGTAGGAGACCACATCAAACAATGGTGCCACCGAAGTTGCCTACCACTCCCGAGCATGATTTGGCCCCGCAAGGGAATCATGTGAAAGTGCCTCAATCCCCTCATCGTGGGCCACCGTATGGTGGCGCGATTCTTCGCGAAGTCCCTGACATCCAAGAGCGCGATCAGTTCATTGCCAGTGCTGAGGCGGGAATGGAGGATTTCTACGAGGATCTCTCCCTGGATTGAAGTATCGAACGTGAAGTGGAGGTCTCTCATTCCCGTGGGGAGCGGCAGGTGGTTCAGATTCCGCGACCCCCACAACATGCGTTGCAGCAAGCTGCACTGTTCGGCGACGTGCCAGGCTCGTCCACGCCAAGGGCCCCCAATCTGACAGAGACACACAACGCCAACGGCGTGAGCGTCCAAGTCGCCTCCGACGACAGTCTCCTCTGCAACGACTCCGCCGACGACGACGCCGAGGCCGAGGCTCTGAGGGCCGGCCCCGCGGGGGCCGCAGGCGGCGCATCGCGCGCGGCCGAAGGCGGGACGACTCGCGTTCTCCCCCAAGGCGCGGGATCTTCATCCTCCTCCTCCTCCTCCTCCTCCTCCTCCTCCTCCTCCTCCTTCTCCTCTTTTTCCTTCTCCTCCTCCTCCTCCGTCTCCTCCTCTTTTTCCTCCTCCTCCTCCTCCTCCTCCTCCTCCTCCTCCTCCTCCTCCTCCTCCTCCTCCCTCCTCCTTCTTCTTCTTCTTCTTCTCCTCGGCATCTTCACCGTCATTTCCCCCCGCCTCAACGTCTCCATCCCCCACCCTCCCATGTTTATTGTCCTTCTTTTCTGCCCTGCTCCCCCATCCACATATTCAATACCCCCCTTCCCGCTTCTCCTCCATCTCCCCCTCCTCGTCCCATTACATCTCCCTTCCTCCCCCTCTTTGTCAGTGCCATCCTCCCTCCTCGTCCGATTTCCCGTCCTCCTCCTCCCCCACCCTTGTCCGTTATGGGTACTTTCTCTTTGTCGCACAACCAGACGCGTCGTCAGGGCGGTCGCGGCTTTCGCTTAGGATCAGGTGCCCCTGAAGCCTGGAATTTCCAACAGCTACACGGACGTAGGGCGGCTATTTTGCAAAATGGGGTTCTCGCCTAGGCGCCGCACACACCCGCCACTGAAAAGAAGCAGTTGCACCGATACAGGGCGGTGCGTTTTCAAAGTGGGGCTGTCGTTCTGGCGCCACGCACCTTCGCCCTAACAAAATCCAACCGTTATTCGGACGGAGGATGAAGGGGTGAGTCTATGTTTCAAAATGGGGCGCTCGCTTTCGCGCAGCGCAGTAGGGCGGCACCGTTTCAACATGAGGCTCTCGCCTTGGCGCCGTGGACATTCGTCAGAAACATGAACAGCTCGACAGATTGAGGACGGCTCCTCTTCAAAGTGTTTTCCAGTTTCTGAGATGTCTTTTTCCAGTCCTTCACCTTCATATTTTTAAATTTATACATGTAACTGTATATATATATAAATACATCTATATACCCTCCCTGCCGAGCCACCAGACGTGCCGTTGGGTCGAACGTGGCGTTTCGCGTCAGATGCTTCGCCTTTGATATTTGACAACCAGCTACGCCGGCTCTTTTTCAAAATGGGTTTTCTTGCCTGGTGTTTCATGCATATGCCATTCAAAAACAACAGATATACGGATGGAGAGCGGAACATGTTCAACATGTCGCCTTCACCCCGCGCACACTCGATTTAACACAGTCCAGCAATTTCCCTGATGGAATTCATTGTCAAAACGGGGTTTTCGCATTCCCGCCGCGCACACTCGTGTTAACAATCTCCAGCCTCTACGCGGACGGAGGGCTGTATTTTATTCGACATGGATTTCTCATTCTGGCGCCACGAACAATCGTTTTTCCAAGAATCAAAAGTTAGACAGGCAGAGGGTGGCTCTTTCTCAAAATAGGGTTCCCGCGTTGCCTTTTACGACGACGAGCAATTGAAGATGTGCAGCGTTTGGATTGATGAATGGCTGATCTTGTTCACAAGTGTGTTATCGCCAGACGTATTTTAGCATTTTATGATAATAAATGCGTATATATACACACACACATTTGCACGTAAGTATAGCGGAAGGTGGATTCTATACCAAAACAAAAAATGAAGGGCAGACGTGGGAGGGGAGGGTGCACGTATGGCAGCATCGTTGATGCATCCTGGGTTTATTATGGTTCTCATCATCCATCC